CTCGTCTGTTGTACACCAGTTTTCAGGATATGCATTAAGCACTGACTTAAGCAAATAAAATGGGTCAATATACATCACAATAATTACTTCTATGGGTTATAATTTTTAACCTTTCTGGAAACAAGTCCAGAAGCTATGTTTGGTGCCATTAAGAACAACTTTTTTTTTTTATCTTTTACATAGTCCATAAACCACTAAGCAGCAGTACTCCTTTTCTGTTTAAATGTGTGTTTTCCTTTGTAAGTGATAAAACAGTAAGACCTAGTTTCACTTTTGCGATTATACTACAGCTTGGTTTTTCTACAGGGTTGGACATTGTGGAGATCTGAAAAACATCAATAACTCAACCTGAGATTTTATGCTTAACTTCAGAGACGGTTTTTTTAAGTGTTTTTGTGTTGTTACAGCATTACCAGGTATCTGTATTATTAGACTTTAACCAAATCCTTATCTATTTCATTGAATTACTCCATTTTAAAATTTTGTTTAAAATATCAGAGCACCACAGTCCTTATGTTGCTTTAGGCCCAGACTTTTCTCTACCACCTTCACATCTCCAGAGCTCCATGCTTTTGAGGGACTTGGCATGCACACCCCCCTCCCAATCCAACATGCCCAAGGATTTTTGTGACCCTCACCCCAACACACACATGCACTGCCTGCGAGTCCACTGCTCGGGCAGGCAGGTCTGCTCTGTGATCTTTGGGAAGAGGGCCACGAGCAGACGGAAGGGAACAGTTAGGGGATGGAAGCAGATGAGGTTAAGGATTTCTGAGCATTAGTTTTCAAGGCCGTTAGGACAGATGCATAGAATTTAGGGTTTTAATAAGCAGAGGCAACTGTTCTGTAGCCTGAATTTTTAATTTTCAGCCAAAATTTAGTCACCTGCTTCTAGCCTAGAGGCCCTCCCCAGGTCCCTGACCGGCAGTGCAGCTTTTCCACTCCTGTCACAAAGCTCTCCAGCACACCAGCCTTTACTCATGCCAAGCTCCAAGCCCGCAGCTCCCATCCCCACTCCGGGTGAGCCCCGTGGTCCTCTCCCCGGGAGATTCCTCTTCCCCAGTCCTTGCTGGTCAAGCGCCCTTTGGCGTTCCCCCTCCTCACACTGACCCACCTAACACCTTTCCTCCGGCTCCCTCCTCCCGCCCTGGCCCTGGCCTGC